TGAATCTAATTAAATTTAATATTCTGATTGTACTGTATGAACTGGATAGTACTGTACGAGCAATAGAGATGATATTGGTCATCCCTTGCTTCATCTCAGACGAACTACATTTTTATTGAAGTGTTCGTACAATACTAACTGGATATCATACAATACGAACATGCAAATTGAGCTGTTCGTATAGTACAAACTAGTGATTGTATTGCATTTTTATTGAAATGTGTGTACAATACTAATTAGACATTATACAGTACGAACAGGTAAATTAAACTATTGATACAGAACTAACTAGTGATTCGTACAATATTAACAGGTCAAATTTTGCACATCGTACTGGATGATCCTATTATCATACTATATGATATTTGACAGCTAAAATGATTTTTAGTTTTTTTTAGGCCCTCTATTTAAGGTTTTTGAAAAGACTTTATAAGAGTCTTTCGCATCCATTGAAGCTTTATTTTTATGGAGAAAACTTAAAGAGAGAACTTGAAAGGGAGATAGGAAAGGGTGGAGTTTGACAGATGGAGAAGATCCTTGGTTGGGTTTCAAGGGAGTGTGAAAGAGATTTCACACCGTTTCTCTGACAAGCTTACACCTTAGTACCATCATATTCAGGGTTCATCTTAAGGAAAGTTTTGGGAAGAAGATGATCTCTTTAGTGTCAAAGGACCCAGCTCCTCTGCCACATTGCGAAAGGTGGAAGTGATTTTATAAGGGCTTTTCCGTCTAGCTATGGGAGCTAAAGGAGAATCATTAAAGGTTTAGTATAATACTCGGAGGGTGCCTCTGGGGAGTGAATGTAGGTCAAAGTTTGATCATACCACTATAAATCTGGTGTGTTCTTTCATTTATTATTTCTACACTTTATTATTTTCGCATTTATTTTTGTTACGATTAATAATGTGGGTGAAATTGATAATTTAACTTTTTATTGTGAATGTAAAGATTATTTGTTGCAATCAATTAATTATCAAATGTGGCACATGATTCAAACTAGTTGTTTTGTACCGTCACGTATGATAGATGGACTCAAAATTAATATTCCTTTTACTAAATGGAGTAGAATATAACAAAACAATGCATAATTAAATGCTAAATGCTTGAATTATTTTTTTATGCGTTTAATTCTGACGATTGCATGAGAATCTCTATATGTACTAATGGAAAAGAAATTTAGGATAGATTATGCATTACATACAAAGGTACTAGTGAAGTCAAGCAATTTAAATTGAATATTCTAAAGCATGATTATGAACTTTTTAGCATGAAATCGTATGAGATGATCTTAGACATGTATACTAGATTTAATCAAATTGTGACATCATTAAATGATTTAGGTAGAGAACTTTCAAACTTTGAATGGGTTAATAAAATTCTATGTTCTCTACTTGATAAATTTGATGCAAAGTTACCACTATATGTGAATCAAAAGATTTGAATGCTTATTCTTTAGTCAATCTATAGGCTCACTCACTGCTTACGAGCAAAGTATGAGTCAAAGACTTTTAGATGCAGGTGATGAGAAGACTATAGTGCAAAAAGATAAAGATATGGATGAATGTGGCTTAGTAGATGATGAGAGTAAGAAGATATCATTAATAACAAACAAATTCAAAAGTCTATTGAAGCACAAGCATAAGCATCAACAAAAGTAGAGCAATGATAAAAATGGTAAAAATTTTAAATTTTCTTATAAAGTTATCTGATTTTTATGCAGGAAATTGGGACATTTGAAGTTTGAATGCCCCAACTTAAAAACTTTTCTTGCGAAGGAAAAGAGTAAAAATAAACTGATTGGAATATGCGGAAAAGATAAAAAGCAAAAAATCTCCTAGGTAGATCAAGCTTTTGAATCATCTTAGCAGGAGCAAGATGATGAGTTATAAGCATGTTAAGGTTTCTTTGTGTGTTTTGTTTATGTGTTTTTGTTATTTGTTTATCTATTTTATGTGTTTAATTTTTATTATATTTGAAGGATAATTTTATGTTTTTGTTTCTTTATTATGTTTTTAACTTTTTGTGTTATTTTATCTCTTTTTTTTTATAATGTCAAAGGGGGAGAAAGTATTATAATTGGTTGTATTTATATTTTATTTTTTAAACCTAAATAATAGAAAAACATAAAACATAAATACAACCAATTACAATATAGCTTTGAAATGCTTGATGGGAACTTGTTGGAGCTTTCTAAGTGATGCTTAAGAGTTAGCTTTCTATTATGACTTTGTATTCTACATTCTCCCAAATAATGTGCACATATGAATCAAGTAATAAAGTGTATGAGATTATGTCAATCCCACGAGAAAATTAATTTACAACAACTAACTCTAGTACTATTTACCCCAGCCATAAAATTTATCCTACATAATTAAATAAAGGGTACATGCAATAACTACTGAGAAATGATAAAAATAGTGAAGATAAATAGAATTAAAGTTATTCTAGTCAATGATAGTGAATTAACTAATATTTTTTGATACACACACTTCTATAGTAGTTATAGATTATATCATAAGCACCCTTAAATCTCTATCAAGTTTATAAGTGTATAAATAATGGTTTATAGGCATTCTATAATGATTATATATCCATAGAATATAGAATCCTACTCATCCTTTATCAAGATATGAAAGTATTCCATCTTATTTCTTATTATCATTTCATTATTCCTCTATCAAGGCAACATATCAAACTAAATTTAAATTCAAACATGGCCATTACATAAGTTAATTGAATCATGAGGGAAATTAAGAACAACCATTCACATTTATATTCAATGTTCTACATTGGGATATACATAGATTATTCATGCCATCGACTCAAAATAAGGAGCTTTAACCAGCCATAGAAATAAGTTGAAGAAAAACACTTTTCATTATATGCTAAAGAAAAAGTTCAAACATAAAAGATGAATAAAATATCACCCAAATTGAACAATCTCAAATAGATCCTATAGATGGACACTTGATAGACTGAAACATCGTTAGACTTTCTCTCTCTGCACTCCTTTCCACTCATAATTGTTATTTTGATCACTATGAGAATGACCAACCACTCCTATAGGGATTTAGTGTTTGAGTTGCATGAACTTTAATGTTTGTTTATTAAAGACCAAATGTGGAATTTAATTGAATTTTACCATATATATATATATATATATATATATATACTTATCTCAGGACGGTATTTTGAACAGTGCAGATCGGCCTGGCCGATCTCACTATCGTCCCGGACGATTCTTGGAGGAAAATCCAAGCCAGAGAAGAATAGTAAGGGAACGAGGTCTCACAGTCAATACTCAGGAAATTTAGAACAAAATAAAGGAATATATTTACCTAAAACTGAACAAATGAATGGCGGTTTTGAGATATCTTTTTAGCAACTTTGCTATTAAAACACAAATTATATTAATTTTACAACTAATTTTTTATAATTTTGTAGCACTAAATAGGAGAAACTATTCAGTACAGATGTCAAACGTCGTCTAGAGACCAACTAGAATGAGCCACGTCAGTACCGTGGCTCGGTACTGCTCATTATGATTGGTCTCCGAATAAAGATGCATTCGGCGTCAGCATGCATGGAATAATTTCTCCGTTAAATAGAGCCATCATCACCACCTGATAGAAGGAAGAAAAGTTCCCATTTACTATCATCTTATAGTAGAAACCTCTTCTCCTTCACCACCTAAAAGATTAAGAGAATGTATTCATGGGTGCAGCTAAGCTAGAGCGAAGGAGAGAGAGAGATGTGCTCAAATCCCTGGTGTTCAAGGAATCAGCAGCCTTGGAGTCTTTAAAGATCGGTGGCTACAACTTCAATGAAGGCCTTGATCTTGCCGCCTCCTGAACTCCATGGTCTCAATTGGCTTCCATGCCACAAACGTGGGAAAATAGGTAATTAGCGACCAACAAAATTGGCCGCTAAAAAGGTTAATTTGGACGCTAAAGCAAATAGCGAACCAAAAATATTTGGGTCGCTGATTTTTCGCAGTAGCCTCATCGCTGAGGCTTTTAGCGACCAAAAAGTTTTTTAGGTTGCTAAATTAGCAACCACTAATTAGTATTGGTCAATAAAATTTGACATATTAGCGACCATTAATTTTTTGGACGTTAATTAATATTTATTTGGATTCTATTTAATAATTAATTTTATTTATTACATTTTTCCTATAGCGACCAAAATAAAAATTGGTCGCAAAATGAACAACCAAAAAAACTACATGCCCCTTTAATTTCATTAAATATTGATATATATATTTATGCATATAAAATTTGTGATATTTAGTAAATAAAAATATTATCCATTTGTTATGCATTGGCTATAACAATTAAAGATCAATCCATCACTCCTTTATATTGCAATTTATTAAATAAATTACATTATAGAGAAATAATACAAATTTTATTAGCTTGAAGCAATAATAATAAAAAACTTAGAATTAAAAAAAATTATATTTATTCATGAGTATCATTGTTAAAAATTTGTTATGAAAAAATGAAAATTGAATTCATTCATATATTTTTACAAATACATCCATCAATTAATACAAAAAATATAATCTCAGATATCATTAATCATAAAATCTTAATGTTTACAAAATGATAACATCTAATTAACATAAAAATCTTTTATTAAATTTTATGTAAATAAATATAAAATTACAAAATTATTGTTTTTTCCCTCATATAAACTATATTAAAAATAAATGACATCATCAATCTATAATCATGCTAGCGCAAATCAATATCCTGTACTACTACAGTGTGGGATCCAGCTCCATATCCATCAATACACATTTGAGATGCAAAGAACTTTAACTTGGAGTACAAGTAGGCAACCCCTACATAAAAATTTTATAAACAAGATTACCATAATATTTCAATAATTCTGAGATAATTCAAGGCAAAAATGTAGGAAACTTGAATACTACATTATAGTATGATGCAAGAATTCAAAAACCAATTGCGTTCTCAAGGAAGGAAGTTCATCTCCTCCTATATAGCCACAACTAAGTGATTGTAAGCTACAATCCATGCATTCTTCATCTCTATGCTCCACATATGAGGAACATACTCTTTTATCATCTCCAGCAGAGCAAAATCTGGTAACATGTAAGAACAAATAAAATATTAAACACTATAATACATACGAGTAAAAAAATATTGTAGTTTGGATATTGTATTAATTCATCATGGCAATACCTCGAAATGTTCATCAAATACACCATACACGACGCGTTTGAGACCAATTTTCTTCATTGTCGTTTCCCTCATAGTAACCTTCCCAGTAGTTCTGAGTTTTGCTGCTTCTTCACATGTCTGTAATCACAACAATTATCCTAATAAAACAATAATGGTCATGAACTCTGCACAAGTGAGGAAGATGATTGGGGGTGTCAACAAACTACCATGATGAAGACAGAAATTGCATGGACTTTGAGCTTGGGGTTCTTCTCAAGTGGAATCTGTGAGTCTCGCATGAAGGAGAAGAGCTTTGCAGCCAAGGGTGCAATCTCAAACATCCTGAAAAATTAATACATGTTGTGAAGTTCAGTAAAACAGCTCTTGTAGATGAAAAGTTTCACATCTTACCTTAATAAGAACTTGAGACCAAGCGTAGCTATATCCTTCTTCATTGTGTTCCACGATTTCAACATAAGAGCTTCTTCTTCTTCACTGAAAGCTATCAATTCTGACCCGTCTAAGCCATTGACTACAAAACATGTGTAGACATAAGAAGAAAAAGAGAAATTTTATCCAATTAATCTGTTCTGTCATAGAGTTTAACCACAAATTTTAGAGCCAAAGATAAGAGATCATTTAAAAGAGGAGCTAGGCATCATACAGAATACAGAGGTGAAAGCACTGTTATGGAAAAACAAAAATAGTATAAAAAAGATTCATGATAAATCCATTCACGTTCTTACATGAATGAAATTATCTTCTCCTCCAGCAGCATTCCCAGCTCCTTTATTGGACATAAAAATGGAGCATAGCAAAGGTAAAACATCTCTATAAATCCTTACTAGGTGAGGTTCTTGGAGGATTCATCAAAACATGTGCAGACGCAAGTCGCGGTCTGCAGCATAGCAACAAGTGAGCTACTAATTGGTATAAGGAATTACTGGACGCATGCTTTCAAGTTGCATCATCATATAAATAACTGAGAAAACAGTAAAATAACTAAAAAGAACCTAAATTACCAAGCTAAGAAATAGCCTTAAATCAACAAAGGCATGCAATTCTATCGACTGAGATTAATCTCTCAGCATACTCTTAAGAAAAATTAATGGAAGATGAATATCTTTATCCAATTCTATAATAATATAGATGCTATAGAATATTAAATTGACTTACAACACATGAAAATTGAAAAAGAGAAAAAAAGGAAAAAGTGTAGTATAGAGTAATAAGCAGAAAAGTAAGTCAAAACTTGAACTCCAACTTGTCAGCATAATCTAGCTTGCTAAAACCTTGTTGAGATCAAGGCGTGGCAGAATCTCAGCATTAGGTGTGGTGTACAGGTGATGGGGAGGAGTAGAACAGGGAAGAGAATGTTGGAGGCAAGAAATCTACTTCTTAGGGTTTGGTGATGATTGTGGAACACAAATCCAATCTGAAGCCATTCATAAATATGACTACACCAAATCAAATGAAATGAATGAATGTAATATATATTACTCACTAACATGATTTATAAATTCAAGCAAATCTTTTTATGTGAATGGGTTAGCAATATCCATAATATTAACAAAAGATAGTCACAAAAGAAATATGTGTATCACTGAACTCAAATAGTTTATACACAAACTTATTAGATTCTTAGAAACATTCACATGAGAAATATAAGTAAGAAACTAAGCACAAGCATCCAAAGGAGAAGCACAAACATTTACGATCTTAGTAAGCATAAAAATTGGACAAAATAACATGAACTTATGTATCCAGAAAACCATGGAATGTTCTGCTTCGAGGTAGATCACATAGGGAAAGTTGAAATTCCAAAGGGATATAGTAATGAAAGAATGATAATACACAATTTTTCCAATGTTATTTATGACATCAAATAACAGAATTTCCAAATTTTAGCGTCTAGTTTCTTAGACAACAAAATGATGTATTTGATCTTACATGTAGGAAATAGAGGAAGAATAACATTGACGAACTTTGAAAAAGCAATTGGTAAACAAAGCATATATTAATTTGCATCAGGAACCACATATTCAAAACTCCAGCATAATAAATTATTGAATATATAATAATCTCCATTTCTAATAACATAATTATATGAAGACCTAGAGAAAATTCTCCTTGTTATGTAATTTCAGAGCAAAGCTTAGCTTCATCTTAAGGATATACTTATATTATTCTCTCCGAATGAACTCAACAAAACATGCAACAAATGCTAGCATACTGGTAGTAAGGGAAAAACATATACCTGATCCGGCTGTGCAACATTAGAGAAAATAACATCCACCATTCCAACTAACATGTGATATTCAGTAGGATGTCCATCCTCAATTATTAGAATGACATTGGTGCACTTCTTTGCCATGTTTACTAGGTCCCTACCACTCCTATTTGAAAATTCAAGAGCATAGACCATACTAGTCTGCCAATATAAAATAAGTTTAGGTGTTAGGCAATAAAAAATTGAAAGAGGACCCAACTTCTCACTACGAACGAGATTTACCAGCCCAACAATATTAGAAACATGTGATATTGTAGTCCCTGATACAGCCCCGAGGTACAATACTCGAGAGCCAGGAGCCTAGAAGATTATAAAACCATTATATAAATTTTACAATGTATGAAGAAGATATGTTATTTTCTTTGTTCCAAAATAGAAATGAAAATGTATAGCTTTGAAAAAAAAAAAAACAATAATGTATAACTTAATCCCAACAACCAGAACATTTACATAACATTATGCATTGCAAACATTGGTAATAGTGTTTTATAAATGAATTTTCTAGGCATGCTCAGAGAGAAATCTTGGTTGCTGCAATTCAGATTATCAAAATGAAAAAAAAAGGTAGAAGAGTTTTCTTTAAAAGAAAGCTTGCAGACTAGAGTTCAAGAATCATTGGATTAGTTGAAATTTTCAAAAGGGGCTCACTAGGTAAAGTTTAGAAGTGATCTCATCTAAATAAGAACAAAGAAGATGGGTGACTTCAAACCATTTTACATGCCATAACAAAAGGTGAATTCAAAAGCCATCCATTAAAAGGGTAAATTCTACTTGGCCAGCCTTTTCTATTTCTAATTCCCTGCTTGGGTTTGCACTTTATAATAAAGCTATCATCATAATCTGTTTAAAGGCTATATTAAATAAATAGATCACAATCAAGTCATATTTCACTTAACATTCAGTTATGCATTCATATTTGGCAATCAGATACATATAAAAACAAATTTTATAATGAAGTTTTTCTATAACAAAAGTAAATTTTACATGCCATTACGCACTATCAGGTTCTGTATACTTGGAATTGTAGACATAAAGTAAATTGAACACACAAGTCTTTGTAACTGTTGTTAACTAGTTATCTATTTGCGTTCAACTAGAAGCTTTCTACCTAGACAAAACCTGATAGTGCCTCTTACAACTTAGCTTGGACTTTGTTGATTATTGTTCGAACATTTGGTAGTAGAATGGTTATTCCTATAGGGCAGCAAGACCAAAAAAACAAAAAGTTTTTTCCTATTCTGGACCTAATACTTCCCTAGTTGGTACAATTTTGCATATAGAAGGTCACGCCTAGCTTAGATATCCCTATTGGAGGCCATTCCTGCTGTGTGCAGTAAAACAGAACAAGGCAGCCAAGATCTGAATCTGAACAGCACTAGTGGCCTGGATTGCAATGGCTGTGAACAGTTTGTTGTCCTATACACCAAGATAGCCGATTGAAAGATAATGATGAAGTTTTGAAAGTAAATAAATAAATATTACTGCTTCTCAAGCCTGCAAGTACAATAACAACAACATCAAGCCTTTATCCCACTATGTGGGGTCGGCTACATGAATCCTTTTTTCTCCATTGTGTCCTATTAAAGGTCAAATTCTCATTTAAATCTAATAAAGAAAGGTCATTCCTAATATTTTTTAACCAAGTCTTTTTAGGTCTGTCTCTACCTTTCAAAACATAAGTCAAATCTAATACCTCTACTCTCCTAACTGAGTCATTGGAAGGCCGCCATTTTATGTGACCAAACCATCTAAGGCGACTCTCTCTAATCTTATCTTCTATTGGAGCTACTCCAACCTTTTCACGTATATGCTCATTTCATATCCTATCTCTAATGGCAAAGCCACTCATCCACCTGAGCATCCTCATCTCTGCCACACTTAACTTAGTATTATGCTTCTCTTTTAATGGCCAACATTCAGCACCATAAAGCATTGCAGGCCTCACTACCATCTTATAGAATTTTCCCTTAAGTTTGACGGGTAATTTTCTATCACACAATAAGCCCGATGCATTCCTCCACTTCAACCATCCAACTTGAATTCTGTTGATAATATCCCCATCAATTTCACCATCACTTTGAACAATAGATCCAAGATATCTAAAACGTGTACTCTTATTAATGACTTGATCGCCCAAAGTCACAATCCCCTCACTAGATCTATTACTACTAAAATTATCTCAAAAATATTTTTGTTAATATTATTTAAATGCCCCTATCTAATCCTAGAATATTGTTTTACTTTATTTTTTATTTTCTGCCTCTTTATCTTAAAGTCCAAAACTAATAATCGATGTTGGGTACATAAATTTTCACTCGAAATAACTTTACAATCTCTACAATCTAAATGATCTAATTTTCTTATAAGAAAATAGTCAATCTGGGTTGTACTATATCCATTTTTATAAGTGATGAGATGCTCATTTCTTTTCTTAAATAAGGTATTAGCAATTGAAAAATCATAAACTAAATAAAAATCTAATATGGTCTTGCCACCTTCATTTGTTATTCCAAAACCATAGCCACCATGAATGTTTTTAAAATCATCTGCCTCTGCACCAACATGTCCATTTAAATCTCCTCCAATAAAAACTTTTTCTTCTAGAGGTATCTTTTGTAATAATTCTTCTAAGTCATTCCAAAAATTTAATTTAGAACTCATATCCAAACCTACTTGAGGAGCATAAGCACTTATAATATTAACAATCTTATCATCAACAACAATCTTTAAAGCTATAATTCTAGCTCTAATCCTATTAATTTTTATAACATTATCCTTCAAACTCTTATCTATAATAACACCTACCCCATTTCTTGTGTTAACTCAAAATTAACTGTGCGGATATGACGACCCGTATCAACCGCAAAGAACTTCAACTTGGCTCTAGGACATCAAATGAACCATTTTTTATGAAAAAAAATTCCAAAAATGAAATAAGAGTTTTCTTCCAAAACCAAATTGGTTGGCTGATCATAAACATTTACTTGGCATACTTTTTGGTTCTAATTGCTAGGAAATATATATTAAAAATGCAAGCATAATGCAAGAAATAACTGTCTACATTCCATAACTTAGAAGTGATTATTAAAACTTGCAATTCAAACTTGTAAGGTATATTACTAGACAACTAATTGTACAAAGACCAATTAAAAGATACTTGAAACAATATAATATGAAAACACTGAAATAAATCAGACTCTAATCATCATTTGATAAGTCTGACCCTACAAGAAGAAATTTATAGTATTAGTCAAACAATTTTTTTATATGTTTTAATAAATTTTACTGTGCTTGTTCTAAATACTTACCATCATCATTAGGTGGCTGCATACCTAATTTTCTACTACCTTTTTTAACCAATCTATATTTTTTTGTTGAGATTTAATGTTCTTACTTTGTTCCTTATATTTCTCTTGTATATCTTTTAAACTGGTTTCAAGCTCGATCTCTCTCTCTCGGACGATGCATTTGATCTGACAATTTAAGGTTCCTTTATAGGCTTTGGCGCATAACCAAGGCCACGAATATATGATGACGTTTTACCTAAAACTTCAGCACAAATTATTGCCTCATCAACTATTCCTCCATCGTCAATAATTTTATCACGAATTTCCATCATCTTGTTCTGTATGTTTTAAGAAAAATCAACAAACAAAAATATGAAATATTACTAATAAATCTATTCTAAAAAATTAAATTTATACTAACATATTTTGCCTGACAATCTTCAGAAACCCATTTCTTTTCATTATCAGTAAACTCCTCCTTGTATAACTCAATCGTGCTTAATTTCTACACCGTAATAAAATATATATCACAAATTAATAGTTTTTAAAATCTAAACAACTAAAAAATTATAAATACCTGGTCATATAAATGAGCTACGAGGGACTTTGTGCCTATTCAGTGAATGACCTTCAACATCGAATGATTTCGTGAGTTTGATTCCGATTTTTTCTGTATTTAAAAATATTTGATTCAACATAATATAACAAACAAAAAAATAATTAGCGGCAAAATTTAATCTTCATGTGCTTGAAATTAGAAGATTTTTACATTAATGTCTTTTGTGTATATGTTCATCACTTCTTGCTAATAGTATTTACTCTTTTTTTCGCACATATTCATTACATGATAAGAAGTTTCATATGTCTTTAATGGGAATATAAGTAAATTAGTGAAGCTATACTTTCTTTTACATTAAAGAAACACCTTAAATATTTCTGAGTCAATAAAATTGCACAACCAAATCCAATCATTTGGTCTCTCAATAAGCTCTTTGTAAGGTTTCTTTCTTGCCAACACTCCATCTCCAAGTTTTTTGTAATGTATATAAGCCTTCGAACAAAAATCAGAAAATCTCTTGCTCATCGTGTGCATCATAGTCCTTTACATGTGGTTCTTCAATGGATATATTAATCTTTACCTACAAAAATTTTTGCATGCAATCATATTACAAAAAAAAGAAAAAAAGAAAAATGAACGAGCATTTCTTCCGTATAATTTAGACAAACTATAAAGTGAAATATTGAACGACAACTGGCTTTGATGCATGATTTAAACTAGAAAAATATTTGTCTGCATGGAACAATATAAAGCTTGGTGGAGATCCATGATGTCCATCATAAAAAAAAACTAACACCATAGTTGTGAGTTCAATGTTGTATAAATATTTGAGATAAACATTCTATATCATAATTACAACAAAAATGTACCAATTATCTTGGGTGAGAGTTAACAATCCTTCAAAATGGCTACAATATTTGCTGCCACTTTCTGATAAATTAAAAAAAAAAGGCTCAAGCATGTTAAGATCATTTTGGGAAAGTATATATAAACAAATCATGAAGGTAAAGTGGCGTAAAAAGAAAAGATGGAATAGAAAAAAAAAATACTAGTAACTAATGCAATGAATCATTCGGCGAGCTAAACAGCAAAAACTTGCAAAGGCTTTTGAAAATCATCACAGATATGTAGTGTCTTCATTTATAGTTTTTTGTCTAGAGTATATTTATAAGTATTAGTAAATAGTAAAGTAAAGTTCAAGTCAATCCAGCCATTAATGACTCAAGGCAGTGAATAGCTTAGATGATTTCTATGGTCCTTTTCACCTACTATTGGTACCAGCTGCTGCATTAGTTATAGCAAAAAATAGAGAGTATGGAGCAGGTTTGGAAGGTGATGTGCCATCCTAGGTTTCATTTACTCTACACTCCTAATACACCGAAAAAATTAAACAACCCCTTAAAAAATACATTTTAAAAAAGTGCTAAAGGTGCAGGTGCAATGACTATAGATGCTAAGAGACTTGCATGTGAAAACAACTTTGAAGAAGGGATTTATTTTTTATGGAAGTGGATTAATATGTAAAATCTAATGCTTTCAAATCCTTCTAATGCTCTTATAGAAAAAGCCTATAATACTCATTTCAGCCTTCAAAACTATATTTTTCTCTGACCAATTTACAACTAATTTTAAGAATAGTTAAAAACAGTCCAAAACAGGATCAGAGTGCAATCATATATTACTTAAAACTTTGGCTTAGTAGTCTGAAGAATGGAATTATGTTATATAAGAAAAATGTCAAGAATGCAATAAATAGTTGTTATTTCTTGCTTTCATTCTGCTAATATCAGCAACCAAACTTGTTTTCTCCAAATTGCTGCAAGCAGCAATCTGTTTCCCTGGTTTTGGATCGATAGAAACAGTAGCTGCACAAAATGAATATTACAAAATCCAACAACAGTAGTCTCTTGCGCATTCCTGCAGAATCAAGGGATAGCACAGACAAATAGCAATATCACTTAGCATAAGCAACTGAACTACAGAGCCGAATAGAAGCACTATAGTTCGTACTATCAATTTTTTAGTTGCTATGCTGACAGTAACAAAATGTAAAATATAAAGAGAAATGATATTCATAAATAGAATTGAATTTATATCACAAATAACTAAAACTATCATTAAATTTCCTACCATCAATTTTTTTAAAAGTATATCTTTATCGGTATCACTAACTCCCATCTTTCGACTTGTATGGGTGCAAAGTTTCTAATTATAATACCCACTTCTCTAGACAACTTTGAGTGATGCTCTCCAACTGGCCTATTCAAGCCCTCTGGAATGAATATTGATACCTTACCTTTTGTTTTGTAATGTTCTTCTAATGCTACACCTCTATTTGGGCCCCGTTGTTTTTTAGAATTTGAAACTGAAAAGAAAAGTAACATTATTTTTAACAATAAATAAGGAAATCATTTATATTTATCATATTTATTAAATTTGAACAAGTCATAAGTAATCATACCAATGATATTTGTCTCATTTTCTTGTCCTAATGGATTAGGTAAACCTAAGCTATCATCCATTAGAGATGCTTCTCCTGTAGACAAACCTCCTTCAATTGATACATGGAAACAATTAAATGTAAGAGCTTATAATGTACAAAAGATTCAAATGATATCATTTAAGATTATAAGAGAAAAAACATTAAAAGAATTTTAACCGACTAAGCAAGAAAATAACAACTTACCATTATTACCAGTAGAAAGGACACGTGAAGCATCATTTTTTATTGTAGATTGCATATTATGACTAGTTGATGGTGCAAACAAATGCGAGTAGTTGAAATTATTTGAGAGCTTATCCGTTTTCCATGAGCCATGGCTTAATGAACTGCAAAATGAAACAACAAAAAAATATTATTGAAAAAGCAATGATATCATGTTATTATAATATATGAAACAAATAAGTTATAAAGAAAAACCTAGTCTTTATCACTATCAATGTTGATATATACATTAACATCATCTTCACTACAATATTCAGCTAATTTTGCATCAAATTCCTCTTCTTCATCTTCATCACATATAAAATCAGCAATATGAGTTGATTGCACATGCACATTTTGTACAGAATCTAGAATTTCTAACTCTACATCTTCTCTATGTGAGGGACCCATGTCATCAAAATCATCTTGGAAGTTCATATCGTTTTGCTCTTCTTGTTGATACACTATATTTTTAGTTTGTTAATCAGTGTTAAGTTGATCTTCATTCAAGTAATTCTTGAGGGTGGGATCAAATAAATGTCTATGTTGCACTTTCTGTACAACATGCCAATCACCTCTTAACTTTGTATCTTGAACATAAAATACTTGAGTAACTTGACTTGCTAATACGTACGGATCATTATCATACCAAGTTTTACGTATATTTATAGATGTGAAATCATCATCAATTATAATGGTCTTTTTATGCTCAAGATCAAACCATTTATACTTGAACAATACGACATGATTTCCATCAATATAGCTCAAATCAACAACATCAATTAAAATTATGTAGAAATCAATACTTTCATCTTTACGAGAACCCTAAACTGATACACCACTATTCTGGGTTACCCTCCGAATATCACATTGGTTGAGTAGAAACTTAATTCCATTAACAATGCACCCTGAATATACATTAACATGAATATCTGGACCCATTGCTTAAGAATAAAGATCTTCTTTACCTTCAAGTGATCCATAAAGATTCAAGTTCTTCATCTAAGCAAGAAAAAAATCCATTTTTGTAAAATTTTGAACATTAGGAGAAAAATTATAAATATAAATAGTAAACGAATTTAGAAATTGAGTATCTCACTCTTTATTCAAACCATAATGGAAAATGTTCTTTTTGCTTTGTTGCCACATCTTGAATAAATGAATCTTCTTTTCTATGCTCATTCTCATGTTCACTGACACAAATTTTATAAAATTAAATTACAAATAACATTATTTATAAATAAATTTAATATCATCAGTATTTAATTTAATTACATACCAAAGGTATGACTTTAGCTCATCACAATTGTTAAGAAAAAACCATCGAACTAAATTGTACTCACTCCAAGATAATGTAGTGAAGAGTGGTTGACCAAAAGGATGAATCCTTCTAGAGAAAATTGAAAGTTGATTTTCATGCAAATGAACCTCATCATTATATTCTTCATCTTGATTATTTCTACTCTACATTCCATGGAGGTATCTAGAACAAAATGTTAATGCCTCATTAACAACATAAGCTTCTGCAATTGATCCTTCAGGGCGAGCTTTGTTCCTAACATTCCCTTTATGAACACTTAGATTTCTAGCATATAAAACAAATTAATCAAAATATGTGCAAATAATCAATAAAAATATATAAAAAGTAAAAGTTATTAGCACAAGAAGTAACCTTTCAATTGGATACATCCACCTATATTGAACAGGTCCAGCAAGCCTAGCCTCACGCGGCAAATGAATAACCAAGTGAACCATTATGTCAAAGAAAGCAGGTGGAAATATCATTTCAAACTGACAAATAGTATTGATGATCATATCTTCTAATTTCTGCAAGACATCCAATCTCAATGTCTTAGCACATAGCATCTTAAAAAATCTTGACAAATCATTTAAAGCATATGTACATCCTTATTTAAATATCCACGAAATCCTAAAGGAAGGATTCGTTGTAACAGAACATGGAAATCATGACTTTTTAATCCCATAAGTTTACCATTTCGAATATGTAATGATCTAGATATATTTGCTACATATCCATCTGGAAACTTTACTAATCTAACAAAATTGAGAAATCCTTCTATCTCTTTTGGAGATAGTGTGTAAGAGGCTAGAGGTTTAAGATACTTCTCACCTTGTTTTTGCAAATGTAGCTCATGTCTTATGCCCATATTTTGTAGATCCAAACGAGCTTTCTCTGTATCCTTTGTCTTTCCTTCTATATTTAATAAGGTCCCTAGAATGCTACCACAAATATTTTTTTCAATGTGCATTACATCAAGATTATGACGTAAGGCGAGACTTCTCCAATAAGGAAACTCAAATAATACACTTTTTTGTTCCAGGTTGATTCATGAAGGTTACGTTTTCTTTTTCTGTAGCTAGGATGCTTTCCAAACTTCAAATCCTTTAATGATTCCATTTTTGATAAAATTTCATCTCCTGATATAACTTGAGGTCTCACCCCAACTTCATGCTTACCATTAAACTTCCAACTTTTTCTCCATTTGTGCTCCTTAGGAAAGAAGCGCCTGTGACCCATGTAACAAATTTTATTTCACAAATATTGTGAAGAAGTGTCACTGTCACATATTAGGCATGCTTTATAACCACGTACTTTATGACCCGACAATATACCATATGCTGGAAAATCATTTATAGTCCATAAAAGAGCAGCATGCATTTGAAAGGTATTCCTACTTATAAAATCATAAGTTTTGACACCATTTACCCATAAGTCATTTAATTCTCCTATAAGGGGCTTTAAATATATATCTATTTCTTTCCCAGGAGAAACTAGACCAGGAATTAATTGTGTCATAAACATGAACTCAGATGACATACAATTCCAAGGAGGTAAATTATATGGCATAAGAATGACATGCCATATACTATACGAACTGCTCATATTTCCAAAAGGATTGAATCCATCTGAAGATAATCCAAGGTGTACATTACGAGAATCATATGCAAACCAAGGAAAGCTAATATCAAAATCCTTCCAAACTTTAGAATCAACTGGATGCCTTAATATATCATCCCCAAACTTATTTTTCTTATGCCACCTCATTTCATGAGCAGTTTTTCTTGAAATATATAAACGTTGTAAATGAGATGTAATGGGAAAATAAAGTAGAATTTTCTGAGGAATTTTCTTTCCTTTTCCATCATTAACTTTCCATCTTGATTCCTTACACTCGGGACATTCTTCTTTAGCCTCATAATCTTTCCAAAATAAAGCACAATCATTTTTACAAGCATGACCACATCCCAATGCAAGGTCTGATAGAATCTTTCTTGATTCATAATATGAAGACGGAAGTATTTCACCCTTTGGCAAGACAGATTTTATGAATTCAAGGATCATGTTGAATGATTTATTTGTCCAACGATTAAGAACTTTAATGTGTAGTAACTTTATAAGAGCAGACAACATAGATAAATCTGAACCAGGGTATAAATAACATTGTGCATCCTTCAGTAATCTATCAAATATAGCTATTTCATCTTTGTCGATAATATTATCATATTCCTCATCTGGTGAATTATTGGGAGTAGTGTTCATGAAAGTTCCCATATGTATATCCTCCAAGATTTCTTTAATCTCATCAACCTCTTCATTTGTATTATTAAGATCATTCACATCTCTTCTGCCTAAATTTGCATCACTGAAAGCTTGAGATGTTTCCCCATGACATCTCCACTCAATGTATGATGTTTGCATTCCATTAATTAGTAAATGATTCTCTATGATACCATAAGTCTGAAAAAATATATTTGCGTAGTATCGACATGGGCACCGAATTTTCTCCTTTTGAGGATTATTTTCATTGGCAAATTTAATAAATGCAGTGACTCCATCCTTATATTGTCGCAAACGTCTATTGTTGAGATTAATCCAACTTTTATCCATTGCTTTTTCCTGACAAAATTATGAAGAAAAAATAATTATTACATGACTAATCTTACAAAAAGTTCTTGTTGTGAAATTTTGTATCAATTCAAATTAGTAGCTGACAAAAAGCATTTCAGGTTATGAAACAATTACCCCTTTAACAATTTGAACAACTAGAATAGAACTTATAAAAATGTTAACAAACTATGTTGTTTTACCGCCCTTTAAATCAGCCTTCTTCTCAAGATGGTGGGCAATGAAACTTCAATTGGATTCCTAACTGGAATGGAATAGTTAGAGGCAGCTATAACTTACGATTTGACTGAAATATGATGTTACTTTTGGCGGATCTCCATTTTATTAATGGATTTTTTATGAGTTGTGAGTTATGTAGCATTATGGAAACCAAGCTCAAGTTGAATTTAAAAGAGCGCTACTATCTTCTAAATAGATGGGATAGTCATTGGTTGATCTTAGAGGAAAAAATTATACATGCATTGTTCAGTAGTAGAATGAACTTAAATGAACATGGGCTTTTATTTTTTGAGCTATGCAACATGTAGTAAACAAGCTCAAGTTGAATATACAAATTGCCAGTACTTTATAAATTGAAGTGGATTGTCAATGGTTTATCTTGGATGAAAACTTGTATTTGAATTGTTAGGGCTGTAAAATGACCTTTAAAAAAGGATAAAAATGATTTGCATATTATGAGTAGATGCGATCGGGGCAAATGCAGGACGAATGCAACGAGCATGAACAGTGATTTGGTTAGATTTACACACTAGTTTGGCGAGATTTTAGGGATTTGATGAGCGGCGTTGCATAACATGTAAGAAATTTAAGTCCTCTATTTTTTTGTTTCTTTTGGGTAATACACAGAGGTCAACAAAGTTTCACATAAAAATTCATGATAATGAAAAATCACCAGATGACTAAAACTCTCCCCATAACAAATTCACTTACATAGGCTAGCCAACAAATTAAAATTATGGAATATGAACAGCAAGGAGAAAGAATCACTAGGATAATAATCCAAGCATCACAGGTATATACTAAGAGATAGCTTTTCCTGAAATTTTATATGTACGAAAAAAAGACACATGATATAGTCATGAAACAACCAGCATCGTGATCATTAAGAGCATACCCTTCTTTGAAGACCCAATCTTTAAAAAGTAAAAAAACTTATCAATTCATCTCTTTATCTAAATCCAAAGTCCATTGATTTGATATTTCAAATGACAAAAGATAAACTACTCAAAATGTCAATAGCAGTGACGATTATAGTTAATGTTGTATCCTCAATCTTGTACTTCAGCTTTCATATGGTTGATGAATGTGAATTATTTCAAAAATTTGACATTTAATGACTCGTAATAATCATAACTAGAAAAATATCCCCATTATTTTGTTACATGCAGAAATATAGCAAAAAGATCACTTACATGAGCTTCTATAAAAGGGAGAGCTCAATACCTTCTCCAACTATGGGGATCTCAAAGCTTGTATGACTGGCCTATGGTTAAGATTCACAGTGATTACTTTGACTTTCAAAATATTATATGTTTGAGATTAATGATGTTATACATTAGGTTATTTATATTTAAACGTATTCATCACCTATAGTTGTATACTATAGTTGAAAGGAGTTGTTCACGTACTAAACACTAAACTCTGAATTGCAATAGAGATCATATTACTTGTTACAACCATATTCAAATATCATTAGAACATTATTTGAAATTTAGTCGAACTTAATCCAACTTTGTTCGATATTCTAAACATGTTTGAATATTGCTTGAACCATGATAGGTCTTATTCAAACCTTGCTAGAAACCTATTCAAACAAGGTTTAACCGTAGTTCAAACTTTCTATCATGTTCTCAATATCTTATGAAATATGGATTAGTTTGAATTGCCTTATAAAGAAAATATCTATAAAAATGCAAATATACAAAAAGCATTCATGTTGAGCACTCAAATGGATGATGTATGTAAAGTTAGATCTATGTTATCTTGTAGATAGCATTATGCGCAACAATGATAAGCACAATGTTCTTTTTATTGAGAAGCTTTCCTTAGTTGAAGGTGAGGAATAAATTTTTAGATACTCATGTGAAGCCATCTTAGAATTGGGGAGAAAATGTTCAAAGTATATTGGAGAGAAAAAACCAAGAATTTTCAATTGATAAAGAAATAAAATGCTCAAGGGCAAAAGAACATTAGCATTATTAAAATATGAAAGCATAAACTATATGCAAATTACTGTATTTTAAGTATTAGTTTGTGTCACTTATTATTATTGTTGAGTCTAGTAATTAGGTTGTTAAGCCTAAGTAAATGTCCCACGGCTACCAAGAGGGGGGTGAATTGGTAGTTTTAAAAATTTTCATTGAATTATTTTTTACAGGTGATTTGTTATCTCTGCACTAGCGCATAGAGATGACGAACAGGAACTCAATAAGTTCATTATACATATCCATCCTATCCCTCTCCTAGTTAAAATGGTAAAGAACAAGGTGAATACTAGACATTTTATAGGTAAATGTGTTGGTCAAAATAAGAAAAAAATAGTAGAGCCAAAGTACAACAAACCGGTAGTCAATCAATATCTCCCTTGAAGAATTTTGTAGTAATAAGGGAGTTGAAAAACAACTAGCTCAAATTAAATAATAAAAATCACTTGATCTATACCTCTCAGCCATTGAAAATGAACCCTAACTTCTTAAAGCAACTATAGCAATCAATAATGTTGAATGATATGATAAAATTGAGAGGAAATCATAGTATAAAGAATATCATAGAAATTTTGAAATGAAAAGAGTAAGACAGAGGCGTTGATAGAAATTTTGAAATGAAAGGGTATTAGGGATAACCTGAGAGGGAGAAACCGACGGAGGCGCATTTTTGGGATGGTCTGAAGAATTGTGAGGGAAGAAACTCATATCAACGCATGAATGAGAGAGGTTATGGCCGTGTGGAGTCTGTCGATTGTAGTTGGAGGTCGTCACTAAAATGGTAGGGCAAACAGGAACAACAAAACTGAGAGCAGTTTGCATGGGCGAGTCGTCTGAGATCTGTGCGTGATAATGAGATCGTGAGGGTAGGGTTTTTTTTAGTTTTTATAATGTATAGTTTTATTTAAATAGGTAATTGTTAAATTTTAGATAATATATATTATAATTTATTTCACCAATAAATTATTTTATTTCACATCATAAAAATATAAATATTAGATTGATTTAATCATTTTATTTATTAATTTTAATTTCAAAGATATTCTTATAATAAAAATTTTTACCGGGGGTGTAACCCCGAAAACCTCCGTAGGGGCGCTGCCCCTTGACCCTGCGACCTGACCAGGCAGGTCAAACCCCGTCAAGCGGCATTGCCCACTTGAACCCCAATATATCTACGAAGCGTACAATGGTTAAGGATCTAAGAAAATAAGGGTTGAGCCAATTTTAAGAAAGCTACAACATATATTTTGTACAAATTGAATGATTAATCAATTACATCACTTTATTTTTTTACAAATAAATCATTCATATATTAACCGAATTTTACTTTAAGGAAAAAATATCATTATATAAATGGTTAATGATATTTTAAAATTTTATTATGTACACAATTAAAAAGAATAATTAGTCACTAAACTGGCATGTATATATTTATGAAAAATAAATCATAGACTTTTAGTGACAAAATTAGAAGCCAATTTTCCTTTTTGGTGGCTAATATCAAGATTCTTTATTATTAGAGGCCACACTTACTTTTGGTCGTTAAAAGATATCTTTAGAGACCAAAATTTTTTTGTCTCTAATTTTTTGTCGCTATTGACCCATTTTCTTGTAGACCTTTAATCCTATACACTTGTCCTCAAAGTGGAAGCAGACATAATGTATAGGGTCAGGGTGTTATTAGAGTTTCATTAAGGGTTATAAAAAATTATCCACCTATGCCTTCTGTGAGCAGAGGCTAGCATGGTGCATAGACCCTTAACATGTTATTTTAAATCATAATAAATCCCTTAATCAACTATGTAAGTAACCTCCAAAAAGGAATCAAGCACTTACATAAAGGGTTTGGTGTTTATGTATTTTAAGGGTTTAAAATGTAATCCAAAAATAACAACCAACGGAATCAAGTGTTAAGCATAAAAGCTTTTTATTTAACTAAGAATAATTATTAAATTTATTTGATTTAAAAAGTTAATTTTAATTAAATAAATTATCAAATTAATTTTTGGATTTTAATTTTTAATTATCAAAGTTTTTCCTAAAAATTTATATAAGTTGATTTGATATATTTGTAATATTAATTTTATTTATTATAATTTATTGAAGTCAACCTTTACTGACAGGTTGATTTTGATTAATCATTGCTTAAAAAAAGTTAGATGTTGTGCTCTCGTCTCTCTGCCTGGGTGATTTTATGGCTCCCTCTCGTACGCTCGATTCAGTGCCTCCTAGCTTGGACTTTTTGGTTGTTTTGTTTTGATTCTTTTACTTTTTGTTACTGGATCTTTCTCGTGCTTTCATTTTCTGTTTCTCTTTAAGTTTTCAAGTGGGGAGATGATGAACCTTTCATCAGTGAACCCTATCTCTTCTTCTACTTCTGAAGGGAAATCTTGATCCTTCAAAGAGGCACTCGCTGGCGGTTCCTCTTCCTCTCCGAAATTGCAGTTTGTTCATTCTTTGTTTAAGGGTTGTCCGACACGTATTTTTGAGGATTCTATGGTTGATCATCTTGTCTCTCCTTATGCGCTAACTTTGGTTGGAAAATTTGTTTTGAGAAGGCTAAATCTTAATGTCATTCACAAGTTTTTCGTTAATCTTAAGTTATCTGGTTCTTTTCATATGGGTTTACTTAATCAAAGGCATGTTACTATCCAACCGTCCAATGACCTTGACTATAGTTAGATTATTTCTAGAAGATCATATTATATTCAAGCGTGTAAAAAGCATTTATTGAAATGGACTCTGGATTTTGATGTTAGGGAGGAAGCTCCTATT